TTGAAATTCTACTTCAAGAACGGCAAAATAAAAAAGCTTTTATATGTTACAAGCAGCCGTTATTGAAGGGTTCGTTTGTTCGCGAGGAGAATTGTAACATATTTGAAAATAAAAAAAAATTCTAGTCTAAGAAAGAGGAAGCTTCATAAACGGTGGCACAACCAAAATTTACTATCAGCCCGATTCTAAATCATTCCGGGAGTCTTGTCTCGGCCGATTTAGATTCTCTCGAGAGTAAATCCTTTAAATAAAAACTCTTTGGGAACAGATTTCTGCCTATAATTATGAGAAATGAGATTTTTAACTTAGAAGCAGGCTTTTCCAACATACACTCCCATTCACTTGTATAGGTACAATGCTTTTCCGTTTTTTTTTCTGGGTTAATTTTCTTTTATTTAAAATCCATTATTATATAACAAAAATTGAAGTCAGTTAAAAATGTTTGAGTTCCTTGTTAATTTTATGCAAATAAAGTGCAATTTATGAAAAGCTTATTTATTTATTCAATAAAATTTGCACAAATGTATTTTAAAGAGCATATTATGTGAATCGAATTTTCAGCAGCATAAACTGCTCCCAAAATATATTCCTGGGTGCGTATTGACTATTTTGTTAGATAAAAATACGTAGCACCGGTAAGAAGAAATACATATTAAAAATCAACGCAGATTTCTAGCCGCTGGAAACTTGCAATAAAACTTGTATTAAAGTTTAATGGGCTCTAAAGTTACATACCTAAGGTTTTCTGAAAGTTCTAATAAAAAAGTTTGAAATTGTGGTGAAAGTTTATTGTTTTTTCTTTTAATTTTTGTACAAAGTTTGAAACGTGGATTTATATGGTGTTACTTATAGTATACATTAGGGCGGGCCAATTTTATATTAAAGGTATTTTACGTCGGTGCGTAATTTATCAATGAGCTTCTCGTCCATTTCCTGCCCCTCTCTGTTGCTTCCTCTGGCGAGTGCCTTAAGAAATTGAAAAAAAGAACCGGAAATGGATTCCTCATACAAAAACTCCCTTACAGCAGGTTTTTATAAAAAAATTAAGCAATTCTTTATGACAATACAGCAAATTATAACGCTCCAAAGGTAAAAAAAAACCTATTTTCGCCCATTCAATTTTAAGATAACAAAGTGTGAGTTTTAAGTGGCTAGAAAATCCGTTGATTTTTGACAACTTTTTTTTTTGTAGAAATATGAGCCTTCGAAAAAATTGGACTTACTAACTTTTCACACAAAGCCAGCGATATATCAATTAATAGGAAATTAAATTTAGTTCAAAATCAGAAATGCACTTACCCGTCAGTGACGCAATAAAGTGGCATTTGTTATTGCTTAAATAGTTTCTATTATTTATCTCCAAACTAAGTGCCTATTTCTTGCATTTTCACGTTCTCACACATGACCACTATTTAAATTTCTTTGCGATTTTTTTAAAATAAATTTCTTACACTTACATACCAACATGCATACATATACAGCAAATGCAATGCATTTGTATGCACACTCGTATACATAAATGTACCGAACCGACGCGACCCGACTATTTTCTACGCGACCCGACTATTGACTATTTTCACTTTTTCACTTCATTCGTTAATAGCTTTTAAATAGCTATATGTAAATACAATTTTTATGTAAATAAATATACACTTGTAATATATTTCGGAATAAAATTAGTATATTTCTTTTACACTAAATTTATTTAAAGTGACTTTTCACAAGCACAGATTAACCAAACTAACTTCCACTGCAAATTACCACTGAATACTGAAAATGCCTATATACGCTCTCAAATCTTGACCGATTGTTCACCTGGAAAAACATCTTTCCATCAGTTCCAATAGTAAAATCACTGAAAATAAATTAAAGACTCTTTAATATTAAATTAGTTTGTATGAATGTACTTTAAACTTTAAATAAAAATACAAAATAAGAGCGGAAGGAACATATTTATGAGAAACGGAACTGATTTTGTGCTTGAAAATGTGAGAGCGAGCAATTACGTGTTTCCGCTTAAAATTTTGTATCATGAGAGAAAAAGATAACGGAAGAGAGCACTAAGGAAATGCAAATGAAAATGAAAATGCTCTCCACCTCTCTATGAGTGAGAGTTCATTTCCGTTTCCCGTGCACTCTTCATCCGCTTTTGAAATGCTTTTTTTTTGCGGCTGCGCAATCAGTTCGCGCAAAATCAATTTCCAAATTTGCAAATTGAGAGTTTTCGAGTGAGTTACCTATCTTCATTCAAACTCTTTTCAAAGTGGGGACCTGGAAAAATAAATTTTTGGAAAAGTTTTCAATATTCAGTTGACTTTTGCCGCGGATATACTTAAGTTCGTTTGCTGCGCGATTTCAATCCGATAAGCAGGAAAATATTGTGTAAAAGTGTTAAAATAATTTATTTAATTTGTATTCAAATGTGCTTTGTAGCATTAAAAGTGCAAGTAGTAACAAAAAATATATATAGTGCGATTTTATTTCATTGCTGCTAAGCAGTTATGTGAAAAAGTGAAATTCGTGTGTTCGCCACGAAGAAATGGGAAGCCATCTTGTGGTCGTGTCGTGTGGGTTCGGTAACGTGCATATCTATATACATACATATCTACACGTGTATGCAAATGTTTGCGCATACATACATAAGTATATACGTTTATATGTACATATTTATGTTGTCATATTCATACATATCCATACTACTACCCAACGCAAAAGCCAGCACATAATATTGACAATTTGAATCTCGGTTTTCATTGGAGAATTTCATATACATATGTAATTCTAACACCTTGCCATTCGGCTAGTGGAATAATATGAGTAGGTTGCTAAATACCTAAAACCAAGCAATTAATAAAAAAAAATGCAGGTACGGGTGAATTTGGTAAGTAAGAACATACTTTTACATTACGCACATACATATGTACATCTTTATAAATGTAACTGTGAAAGCACATACTTGCACATTAGACTGCATCACCAAAAAAAAGTTGCTGTTTTTCCGGCAGGATTACACAATCTAGGTGATTCTAAGACTTCTACCAAAATATTTCGGAAAAATATTAAGATTTACGTGAGCTGGACCGGTTTGAAAATACCTCTAAAAATGGAGTTTTTTATGAATAAAAATAGGTTCTTAAAGGATTTTTTGGAAAAAATCCCCTCAGATGACAATACAGGTTAAGCTTAAAAAATCTACATAAAAATATTAAAAAATGTTATCAACGGAATCATAGTAATGAAATTTTCGATGCTGTTTTTTTTACTTTTTCAAAGATTTGTGTAATAAAAAATCAAACGAAACGAAAAACGACGATATTTGATACCTGCGCCATGTATATAAAATTCGGTTTCGCCCGAACTTATACTTCCTTACTTGTTTTTGAATTAAATTACAGTCCATTCGTTAACAAACACTATATGTACCTATAAACGCAAGTTTTAAACTATGTAGGAAATTAAAAAAAGGTTCTAAAAATTTTCATCGAAATTTCAAAAGTCGAGTCTTGTGTGCAGTCTCGTACCCCATTCAATTTCGGTATAATAAAGTATAACTTTGGCGTAGCTTAAACTTACCGTTGATTTTTGAAAATTTTTTACCAGCGGAAAGAGCGTCAGCATAAAATTTTCAAAATTCAACGGAAATTTGTAGCTACTCCAAACTTGCACTTTATCATACCCAAGGCACATTAAACAGGTAGTATCAGTAGAGCAAAAACAACATTTTTGTGTATTTTGTTGTTGCTTCTGGTATCGAAAGTGTCAAAAACTGTTCTGAATTTTTTCTTCTAAATCAAAGCGTGCCATGTGAAATACAAAAAATTATAAAAAATAAAAAATTTAAATTGGAAAAAATAAAAATTGATGCAACTTTCTTTCCTAGTAAATTTGTTTGCTTCTCGAAGCATTGATCCATACTTTGCAAGGCCCAGTAATCAGCGGTCGTGCTGCCGAGTTGGGCGAACGTTCCAAAAGCTGCTATTCAATCGCTTGTTTTGTATGGAAAAAGGTTTCACAAGCAAATGGATTTTAACAACTTATAATTTTCGTGAGAAAAAATTAAAAATATTTGACATTTTCGAGACCAAATAATTTGAAAATAAATCAAATCAGCTGCTCTACTGATACTATCTGTTCAATGTACCTTGATCATACCAAAATTGAAATTGTTGAATCTTTATTTAATTTTCTATAAAGTTTAATATAAATGGAAATTGCATAAAAGAAAATTAACCCAGAAAAAATCAGCGAAAAAGCATTGTGCTTATTTAAGTGGATGGGAGTGTACATTGTTAGTCATTGTGCTATAAGCCGCCCGGTGCGGCTAGATGGGAATTATTTTTGTTGAAGCCCTCCCTACCCTCTGACCACCTAGCTTTAAGTGGGAACGAAGGTTTCGCACAACAATTGAGGAGGAGGGAATTAAAACTAGCCGTAGATCCCCAAACATTTTCACGAACGGCTCTAAAATGGCAATGGGAGTGGGTGCAGTGGGAACTGAACGTCAGGCGGGCAATAAGGTTACTTGACTATTGCAGCTTATTTCAAGCAGAGGTTTTCGCAATGAGGATAGCATCAGAGCTAGCCTACACCGAAACGACAATCAATTCAAAAGTAAACCTATACGTCGATAGTCAGGTGGCAATTAAGGCAGTTACCTCATATAGTATTTCATCCATAAACGTCCTTCGCAGCCGGGAAGCCATTGACAGGCTGGGCGCCGACAGAAGGCTGCCCGGCCACAAGGGAATAGAGGCTAATGAAATAGCGGATGAGACTGCCAAGAACGAAAACAGACAAACTAAATTCGTAGATCACTTCAACACTTATACAACGAAATAGACGATATCTAATATGATTAGGCAGTTCAGGGCTAGATGGAATGAGTTAACGACTTGAAAATCTGCAAAAATTATGTGCGAAAACGGCGGAAGCAATTATACTCGCTTCTTGCTACGGCTATCAAAGGAAGACAGGTGCATGAAGTGTTGTGAGCGGGTGTGCGGGAGACCAGGAAAACCTTGGAGCATCTTCTCTGCCGATATCCTGCACTGTCAAAAACAATTCGGGAAGTTAGAGGAAATCTCTAAAGTAGAGCTGAAATTTCTACTTAAATTCGCAAAAAGCGTTGACATCCTTTGTGATATTTACTTTAACGCGTAAAAACGAGCTCCAACTGGTAATGCTAATGACCTACCGGTGTGCGGCTCAACGCCGGCCAGATTAACCTAAGCTACCCTCTGACCAAAATTGATTCCCCTCTCTACTGTGAAAAGTTATTTAGACCGATTAAATAACCGACAAAAATTGGTAAACAGAAAAATGTTGTGCTCCATTATGACAAAGCCGAATCACACGCAAAAATTAAGAGCGCTTCGTTTGCGTTGCTTCATATCCTTCCTTAATGGTGCTGAATTTACTTAAAAAAAAAAAAATCCAATTGAGATCATTTGAATTAGTTTTCATTCCAACAGTCGGTGAAGTTTTTCGGAGGTAGGCATTGTGAACATGCCTTAAAAAAACTACAAGCTTTTCTCAATTGAAATTTTTCAACGCTCTCTTCATCTGAATCCTATTTAATGATGGTCCCAATAATTCGAATCAAGTTTTAGGTATATGAAAATTATTTGGTTGAAAAGTTATATCTTTTTACATTGGCTTTTATTTAAAGGATGTTACGACGAATTTTCACTAGGCATTGAAATGACGAAAAAGTTGTGCCCTTTAAAAAAAAGCCGCTTAAAAAGGCAGAGCTATTTTTAACGCCCAACTTTGTCGTTATAATTTGTGCCAATTGATACGGCATCAGCCTTATTAGATTCAAAAAATCTTCTGGTGTTTTTCAGTTTTGAATAAAAATTCTACGAAAATGGCAACACTGACATACATATACATATGTACCTACATGCACATTTCCATTGCATTTGTTGCCCAATTAAAATAATTACAACTGAGCTTAATCAACAGAAGCCACTAAAGTCCCAGTGTCAGCCAGTCACCTGACGACAGACGCTGCAATACGGTTGATGATGGTGGTAGCACTGTTGTTGCAATGCTACTAAACCTCATGCATTTACTGAAATTTCAAGATGCTTCGGTGGCCTATATGCTGAGTGGGAGATGTTAGTAGGTATACGAGGATGTATGAAGTTGGTTGGGTTTTGCACATCTAGTCGATAGTTTTACCAAAATAGCAAACGCATGAGTGGATGGCTGCATATTGCTTGACTGCTGTAGTTGGAATTTTGTGCGGCGTACATTTTGTTGCTGTCACCATCTCTGCTATTCTTGCTCTCCCTGTATCACTTGTCAGTGTTAATTAATTAACCAGCATTTTAACTGTTCAGTGTGAATATCACCTTTGCAATGGTTATACGGACTTTGATGTTGTTGGTGTATCGGAGAGATGCTGAGGTGTTCGCTAGCTTAACATTTGCTACCTACTAAGACTGTCATTGCCATTGTCACTGTCATTGCATGCAACAAAAGCCACATTTGCTGTCTTAACTAGTACTTGTATTTTATTTATTGCATTTTTGTTGTTCTCTGCTACACTTCTCACTGCCAAAGGTTGCCCATTAACTGTCTGTACATAGCGTTGTTGTAGGTTCTGCGTGTTACTGCGTTGCTGATAGCTTTTGCTTGATGAGCTTGTTAACATACTTGTTGCGCAATTAAAATATATGTATGTAAGTTCTCGCAATTGCTGCAACATGAGTCCTTAGGACTTCACTGGCTTCGCAAAGGCTGTGTTGGTGGTTATGCTGCCCGCCTCGTTTGCCTTCATTTGTTTCTTCAATGCTGCTCGTCTCTAATTTATTTGTTGTAACCGATCCTTCCATTGCGCTCTATTCTGCATCATTTATTAGCTTCGCTCACACCAAAAGCTCCTCAAACACCATATTTGTTGTCAACTTGTTAATGCTGCTGTTGCTGTTGTTCCTGCTGTTGCTGCTGCTGCCGCTGCTGTCGCTGTTTCCATTACTGCACCGCCACGTTTACGTGCCTCCCTCAGCTCCTTGCCCTCATTTCCTGCGCCACTCCAAAGTCATACATTCAGGTCGGCCATCATTTTGCGAAAATCGTTAAGTGATCCATAAGTATCGAAATCATCACAGCCATCCAATTCACTGCCTCGTGAGCCATGTCGGCTGCCCGGCGCTCCTGCGCCCATATTTGTGGGACGTGGCAAGGTCAAGGGTACTGGCAGCAGCTCCGGCATAACCGAATGGTGAGTGATGAGCGCACGCAGCGATGAGAACTCCTTGGTGAAGCCCTGTAAAAGCATCAAAAAGAAAAGAGTGAGCATTCCAGTTCATTTGGTTTTCTTTCATTTACACCTTCACTGGTGGTATCGAGTTTCATTGTGCATGTAACCAACCTTGATTTTATAGCCACGCGGCGTACGCAGTATCAGGTAGTGTGCCACTTTGGGCGCGGGCGGTGGCACGCGTAACGACAATGCAAAACAGCCGGGTTTTGTGCTACTCTGTCGCACCAAAAATGCGCCGGGACTTTGCCGCGACAACACCTCTAGCGAGATCTCACGCGGGATACCGGCTTGAAACCATGCGGCGCCCTTTAGCTCGTGTTGCTCTGCCAGGCTGAGATTGTCGAGTCGTAGCGGCGCGCTAGGCGCAAACATCTTTGGGCTGGAGTTGGCTGCGTAAAAATTGCAAAAAAGTGAATAGTTAAAAAATAACCAAAATTGTGCTTGCTTGTTGGCTTACCACTGCACGTCTCTCGCAAATATTTCTTCTTATAGCTAAATTCGGTGTGCTCTTGTAGGCCGATATGCGCTGCTTCGTGCGTTGGCAGTGCGGTCAAAGATTGCCGACAAGAATCGCCGAACTTGTTGGTAATCATTTTCTCCGGTTCACAGATCGCTTCGTTCACGTAACCATCGGAGATAGTTTGCGATGAGCCTGAATTGAGTGAGGATGAGGCTGTGTGTACAAGCGGTCGACTGTCTTCGGTGCCGCGCAGCAGACCCATACCCATTGTGAGGCGTTTGACCTGAAAGCAATAAAATAGAAGGATTGATAAAATGCGATGAAGATGGAATATAAGTAATAAAAAAAGAGGAAGGGTGATATTTTAATTTTTTATACTAAGCTCAAAATAGGGATCTGCTTTTTTGTGGCCCCCTCTTACTACCACCAAATTGGCGTTACATCAACATAACCAATTTTGACGGAGATGAAAAAAAAAAACCCAGCCAGTGCTGTCTTCTTCCATATGTTTTTCCAACGTATATGATCCAATCCTCATCCTATTCTATTGTATATTTTGGCTTCAAGTATTTGCGTCGATTCGTAAGACGTTATCCATCCAGCGGGGTCGCGCAGAGCTCCGTATAACTTAAGATGAATCTTACTCCCGAATACTCTGAAAGACCGCCTCAGTAAATGTAGCCATCGTCTGCGCTTTTGCACGGTACATTGGGACGGGAATGATGAGAGGCTTATGGAGAGAGAACTTTAATGCTCGATTGACTTTTCGAACCAAAGTAGCACTAGTTGGCTGGATTGATAACGCAGACATTGTGGCGTAAAGATAACTCCTTTTCGAGTTATACAAATCAGTTTTGAAATCGACAACAAGATTGTGGTGTCAATCCTTTTCTCGCGGGTCGTTCCCAGAAGTTGCCGTTAGCTAAATACCAGATCTGTGGTTGATTCGTCAGATTTATAGCCACACAGATGACACCGAAACAGTTGGTGACGGTGGGATTAAGTCTTTCGCACAATGCTGTCGATAGAATCTTAAAAGGAATATTCAGATCGCTGCGCCTACCGTAATTGGTGCATATGGGACGGTAGTTTTCGGCATTCATGATTCCGTTCCACCGGTTCCTGGCTGTAACATATGAATAGTTCAGTTGGCAAACCATCGTTATTTTTCAAGCGATCTATTGCTAATTTAAATTTGAACTGATCGGATAGTGGAAACAAATTTCATCATCGCCGAACGGTGGGTCATGGTTTCAACTATTTCCGCCGCTAGAAGCACTTAACGGGGTGAAGAAGTTAAGAAGAAGCTTAAGTAAGTATAGACCGACCTCTGTCCTGACCTGAAACCCGTCACGGGAGATGGAACTCACACCGAAAGTGGTCTCTCGTAGAAACGGGACTACAATCCAACAAATTTAATTATACCGTGAAAATTATTATTCATTGAAATCAAAAAAGGGCTAGGAAAGTGGTATTTGAGTGGAAGGTAGTCAGAGACATCTTCTGCGAAAAAGCCACCATAGGCAACAGATTGAATTCTCACAAATGTAATAACATCCAAAAACTCACATTCTGATAGACAAAAGGTGTACACCGTTCTTAGGTCCTCGATAATACACTCGAAAATGGTCAGGAGATGTCTGACTTTTCTATGGAACGCTTCAGATTATTACGCTGTCAAGTTCATATGGCTTCTAACTAGCCAGACGGGAAACTCTTGAGGAGTTATCGCTGAAAATGTGGAGTTTGTAAATGCATAGATGGGCGGTTAGCCGGGGGAGATAATTCCATCAGCCAGGTGTTGACCGGAGCTTATTAGTGGGTTATTAGCGGGAGTCTAAAGTGGTCTGGATAAAGACCATGAAGAAGGAGAAGATTGGCCGAAAGCTTGAGCTTTGAACAATTTGGGTCTCCCATCTTACTCCATACTGGTGAGCTATCGGGATTAGCTGACCCTTACTTGTATCCTCTTATATTAACCCAACCTACTAAACTAACCATCTTAAGACTATCTATGTTCTTCAATAACTTTTATACCATACCTACATATGTATATTATAACCAGGGCCGAAGAAAGTAAGGAAGAAAAGAATCCATTTTAAACGCTTGGATAAGCACTAAAACATTAGTAAATATGCTTGCAAATATGCTCTCCAAACTATAGAATTTAAGTACAGTCAAAACTCCTTGGACACTACAATTCACACACAGGAAATAGTAGCAAATTTATTTCTTGACCGTTTTCTTAAAAGGTCCGTACTTTAGCTTTATACATTAAAATAAACAAAATAAGCATGATCATTAAAATTAAGCTTGGAAACCCTAAATAAGTAAAATAAGCAATTCCAAGCAAAAGCTTAAACTTTTCGGCCCTGATTATAGCCAATTACCAAACCTGATTAAGTACACATATATTTTAATTAGTTCTAAAATCAAATAGGTGAGAACTCTTCTGCGTCTGTTGTTGTAAAGTTTGATACCTACGTTTGAAAATATCTATCATTTAATTACAGCAACCATTTTATTAATCTCAGATTGATACGAGTATCTCATTACTTACTTCACAGCATTAGATTTAATATGTAAATAAAATACGTAATTATATACCCGTAAATAAAAACAAATTAATGCCACTAAACTATTTCTATGTATATATGTATGTACGTAATCAGTTCGATTTCTCATTTTAAATGCAAATAGCACCAGCTCCCGAGGTTTCAGCACTCTACATCTGCAGCTGCTAAAAGTTTTGCGTAATTCGACGACTTCACCTGCAAAATTGCAAAAGTTTCAGCGTGTCAAATTCGTGGCTAACCACAAACGCACAAAACTTTCGCACCAAATGCATCGATTGCGTGTTTTTTTTGTTCATCACCTCTCTTTGGATTTATAAACTTACCCGGCGAATGAATGAGTTTGGGGTGTTGAAATTACTGAAACTTTTGGGGTTTTTTGATTTTCGTTTGGTTTTTGATTGTGGCTGCGTGGTTGTATTTAGTTCAGAAGTTTTAAGGTATTGAATCTGCAAAAGTAAGTTAGCGTGATCGAAACGGAATCACATAAAAATTGATTTATTGAATGCGTGAAAATTGCTAGGGTTTAAATTCCGAGGTGTTATGATGACCTAGTGAACTTTTACTAGTGAAATTTTGGAAATATTTGTCGGCATATTACTATTTATATACGTAAATATGTATGTACATATATATTATTACAGAAAACTTAAGTTCAAATTTTCAATATGGATAGTAGGCATTTTGGTAGGCATCCATGCCGGATATCATTTTGGTTATTCGATTATATTTATCAGATGCGAAGTAGTAGGTCACAGTTTGACCGCAGATGTATCCCAAATAAAGCTGCGGTTCCCAAATCGGGAATTAAACAAGTAAGAAAGTCTACGTTCGGGCGGAGCCGAACATTAAATACCCGGCGCAAGTATTAAATATATGTTTTTTCACCTAAAGCTACCGCTAGATGGTAAGCCGGGGTGTATCAATTTTGAGTAAATTAGTGACTACGCCCATTTTCCAAAAATTTATAATATTCTTATTTTTCGTCTAAAACTTATTATAAATATCAATTTTGAGTGAATAATCTCCAGTAGTTACTAAAATATTGAAGTTTTCGTATTTCTGAAAATAACCGTTATATGGGAAGTAGGCGTGGTTATTGAGCTATTTTAAAAATTTTCGCCCATTTGGTATGCTGTGCGAAGGCCAACAACTGTGCGAAGTTTGGAAGAAATTGGTGCAGCGGTTACCAAGATATACACATGTAACCATAAGTGGGCGTGACTACGCCCATTTTCCAAAATTTTATAATATTCTTATTTTTCGCCTAAAACTTATTGTAAATATAAATTTTGAGTGAATTATCTTCAGTAGTTACTAAAATATCGCAGTTTTCGTATTTCTGGAAATTACCGTTATATGGGAAGTGGGCGTGGTTAAAGTACGATTTCGCCCATTTTCAATACCAACCTACCTTGGATTAAGGGAAACCTACATACCAAATTTCGTTGAGCTATCTCAATTTTTGCTCGAGTTATCGTGTACACGGGCGGACGGACAGACGGACAGACGGACGGACAGACAGACAAGGCTTAATCGATTTCTTTTTTCATCCTGATCATTTATGTATACATTTGTCTATATCTATCTTGATTCGTTTTGGCTGTTACAAAAAACCGTTATGTGAACAAAATTAATATACCCTTGTGCACAAGTGCGCTCGGGTATAAAAATAAAATAGAAAGAGGACAGAGAACAGGGAACAGGGAGCAGCTTGTGTTGGAACTGTGAGTGCAATGAGAGGGCAAGATGGATAGGCCTCCATTAGGGTTTTTTGGCCTTTACCTACTCCTGTAAGACGAGGTACTGTTTACAAATCAACAGATACCGAATTCTACGGACGTTTTGGGTTCAATATCCTGTTTAGGTTAGGTGTTAAGTCGTACCGATTTTTTACAGAGTCCGGTTAGAACTTCTGTCTTGGCTGAGAGTTATTTCCTAGACAGCTGAAGATGTCTCTTTAACGACTTTGCAACCTCGCTGACTTAACGCCAATTGGAAATGCGAAGTGAAGCCATGTTCCTTCTTTACTTCGTCTTTCCATCGCAGTGGGGGCCTCCCCCTCTATATCATTGTAAAGCTCATACAGCTTATCATTCCATCGCCTGCGATAGTCGCCGTGGCGAAAAGCCCTTTTGACAAAAACCACTTGAGCATGTTCAAAATGCAGATATGTATGTATATGCACATATAAAATTTTTCTCGCGTTGCTCCAACAGTCGCAATGGTCGAGTGAACAGAACATGGCGTGCTATTCGAGAGATCCGGCGTTCGAATCCTCAGGGAGCGGATTTTTTAAATACAATTTTTAATTTATTTTTTAATTCAGTTCTCTTCTCTTTTTTAATTTTATTTTATATTTAAAATTTTGTTTTTGGTAGTTTTTTATTTAAACAAAATTTTTTTCTTTTTAGAATTCTTTTTTCAAATTTTTAGATTTTGTTGTTTAAAACACAAAAATATATTTTTTTTTATTTCATAAAATTTTTAGAAACTTGTTTTATTTTTTTAATTTTTGTAAATTTAATTCTTTATTTTTAAATTTCTCAATTTTTAGATTTTGTTGTTTTAAAAAGAAAAATTGTTTTGTTTAATTCTATTTTATTTTTATGAACTTAATTTAATTTTTTTCATGAATTTTATTTTTTTAATTCAATATTTAAATGTTATTGTTTTAAAACGAATATTTCTATAAACATTTTTAATTTTT